CCGGGAACCCCCTCCGCAGGTGCCACCTGGAATCCTGGCTGAACGCGGGGCTGGAGCCCTACGGAGATCGCCGTGGGGCCCAAACCTCACTCAACCTCAGCCCTGGGGAGGGCGGCGAGCAGCCCCCGGGGCGGGGCGGGCCGGGCCTCCAGCAAGTCTCCGAGCTCCCGCCGGCCGGAACGGGGCTCGGAACTGGCGGCTGCGGCAGGGCTGGGCCCCGGGGCTGGCGGAGGGCAGGGCCACCGCCCGCAGTGCGACGGGATGGGCGCTGCGGCCCCGCGCTCCGCTCCGCGCGAGCGACCTCCGAGGACCCGGGCACGAGCCGCGGGGAGCCCCGGCCCCTAACGGGAGCAGAGGAGACGGGATCGGCCTGCGCGAGGGGCAGCGCTGAGACGCCTAGGATCCGGGCAGCCCGGGCCCGGCCGAGGCAGCCAAGGTGCCGCGCCAGCAGCTCCCCCATTCCACCCCGCGGACGGCCAGTGTGGGAGCGAGAGGGCGCCGCCGGGCCCACCCAAGGGCAGCTCCGATTCCCGAGAACCGACCCCCGCCCCGCCCTCAGGGCCTGCTCCTCCCCCGCCTGCCCCTTCACTCCGGCGCCGGCCAGCTCCGAGCCCCGGGGGCTCCCCCTGCACGCGGAGCCCCGGCTGCGGCTGCTGCGCTGTGGACTGTGCCTCGTTCCAAACTGGGCAACTGCCCGCGGGAAACGTGACGTCCCGAGTCTGGGAGGTGCAGAGCTGCGGCTCGGGCCGCCAGAACCCGAAGGGGCCGGCCTGCAGGGAGGGCCGGATCCCTGGGCTCAGGCCCGAACTGGGGCCGATGCCCTCCTCCTGTGCACACACGCCAAGTCCACGCACCCAAGTAGACATTCTTCAGGGCCAACCCCCTGGCCCTGAATCCGAACAAATAACTCGGGTTCCGTCCCTAAGGTGTGTGTGTGTGTGTGTGTGTGTGTGTGTGTGTGTGTGTGCGTGTGCGTGCGCGCGTGCCTGGGGCTGTTGAGTCCAGCGCTGATTTTCCCCGCGCCCCTTAGGAAGGAGAAAGGCAGCCCGAGCGGGCAGCAGCTGTCGGGCGCGCTCTCCGGATCTATCTGTAGAGGTGGGTGGGTGTCTAAGGTTAGGAGACTTGACTCCCAGCACCGCCGGCCCTTGAACGGCCCCTCTCTTGCCGTTCACTCCAACCAAGGAATCTCTCTGCTCTCCGGGAAAAGGCAGCTGCCAAAGGAGATGTGAAGTGGGGCCTGCCAAAGGAGGAGGAGAAAATTAATTAATGAGGGAAAGAAATGTGTCTCTGATCCAGATGATAGACTCCCTATCCCTGGGGGCGGAAATTCCTTGGAAATCAATAGTTGTGCATTCATTATCCCCCTCTTGATAAAATGCAAAGCTATGAGATGGGGGGAGGGGAGAATCTCTGTTGGTCATTAAACAAGAAGAAGGAGTGGGGGCGGGGGGGGGAAGGGATGCTTTCCAGGAATCTATGCCAGGGCTCAGACCCCATGTGGTCATCATTAGCACAGTCAGGGGCCAACTAGTTACTGCACTTGCCAAACCAGAAAAACAAAGCAGTGACTTATTGGCCAGCCTCAGTCCACCACCCTTTTCTTTCACCGCAGTGGGGTGAGTAGAGAAAGACTTCAGGAGGTCCCAGGAACTGCCAGCAGATCTGCCACTGTGCCTCGCTCTCTAGCCTGGGGCTGAGGCCCAGCAGGGATGTGGCAGGATAACTGTCCCAGCATCATCTCCCACCCCATCCCATATTTCTCTACACCTCCCTCTCTTCGAACCTCTCAGTATAAAAACCCCTTTCACCTGGGGCTGCCCCACTCTTATAGACTGCTACCTCCTGGAGGGCAGATACCCATATTTTATACCTCATTTTCTCTCCAATGTCTTGCCCTGGCTCAATCTGGTGATTACTAAGCATTTGAGGAGGGAAAGAAAAGTAGAAAGTAAATGAGGGAAGGATGAAATAATTGAACTCCGAAAAAGAACAAGCTACTATCAAGTTTCACAGCTCTGCGTGGGGACGACGTACCCCTCTGGTCCAGTGTCCATCTCCTTTTTAGGAAGAAAGGAGACTCTTCAGTGATCTTCCTGCTTGCTCCCCATTAACCTCTGGTTTGCTGAACTCTCTGGCTTTTTCTTCTGGGCCCTCCACATCTGCCTTCTCTTCCTTCCTACATACATGTGTTGTTTGGTGGCACATTTTTACTCTGTGACAAGCACCTTCTTAAGTACCATGGTGGACACAGATGAGCCCCAAATGGGCTTGCAGTCCATTGGGTTAGGGGTGGGTTGGGAATTGAACCCCACAGCCCTCATATTTCTAACCCCAGGAAAAGCTGAAATACTCTCGGCAAAGGTCTGGCCCCATCCCAAGGTGTTGCTCAAAGAAAGGTGTCCAAAGAAACTTGAACTATAGAAGGAATCTTGGCAGGTGAGTGCACTCCTGATCTCTGGCAGGGTGCCTGACTTCTGGGTTTCCTGGTGCCCTCCCAGCATCATAGTGTAAACTGAGATGAGCTTCCAGTACTTTGGGGGCCCACCCTGGAGGAACCTGTGCTGTTTGCAATTCTGTCTCCCATGGACCCTTCCGGGCCCCTAAAAGCCACCCTTTCCCTGGGGAGCGGGCAGGATCTAGACTCTCACCCTCTGCGGGACCCTTCCTTCGCCTAGAGAGACAGCTCAGGGAACCGCTGCCGTAGGTATCAGGAAGGATTAGGCTAAGCCTGGGCACCCGGTGTGAGAACTACCTTAGGACTTACTCGCTCCCTCCAGCGATGTCCTGCTTCTCGTCTATCCCCCATAGAGATAAAATTGCATTTAGCACTCCCAGGGGACCACGTAATGGATGGAAACGCAGCTCCTCTCACACCAGCAAGTGAACATTTTTCTTACTCCCGTCTCTGGCTGCAACGGGGGAGGAGTGTAGAGAGAAAAGAAATGAAAGAAAAAGCCATGGTGACGCCTGTGGGCTCTTCTTGGAATTTGAGCATTGAGTGGGTATGCTAAATATGGACACGTTTATCCTAAGAAAAGATCCACACATTCGCAACTGAGGTTTATTGAAACGAGATCTGTTCTTTGGTGAAAATACAGTCCTCTTTGGTGTGGAAGAGACCAGAAAGATTATTTATCTGATCTCTGCCTCCCATAAGTAGCCTCTCGCCGCTCTCCAGCTCTCTTGCCACAGATGTGATAACATCTGGGCTGTTATTATCACCCGGGGCAAGCTCTGTGTCCCTGGGGACTTGGCACCTGAACTGTGGTTCTCCTGGGAGGCCCTTGATCTGCCTGCCACACAAGGGCCATAAAACAGGTTGGCTAATTGATTCATTCTTCTTAGGTTTTGATTTCACAATAAGAGAATACATAAAAAATAAAGTCCGGACCAGAGCTGCTTAGGTTTCTTTCTTTCAAATTGGTTTGAATTAATATTTTAATCACACTTCCCTATAAACTGGCTTGATCCTGTCCCCTATTGGAGAAGAATATATGTGTGTGTACATATATATATATATATATATAGAGAGAGAGAGAGAGAGAGAATATATTTTTGTGTATATATATATATATATATATATATAGAGAGAGAGAGAGAGAGAGAGAGAGAGAGAGAGAGAGATAAGAGGCAAAGAAAGCAAAACAATGGGAGAGAAAATAAAGTTCTCTTTTCAACATCTTATTATTTTTTCTCTGAAGTGAGCTCCTCTTCCCGGAGTATCCAGCATAAAGTGTGTGTGTGTGTGTGTGTGTGTGTGTGTGTGTGTGTGGAGAGGAAAGGATCCCAACAACACCCTGTTAACTATTTTTCCTTTTGATTACTAGAAGCCTCAGATCACCCGGAGCTCGTTTGAAATGTGGGTTTGTACACGGTTAAAGGAGACAAACAATAAGAGAAATGCACAATTTCATTTCAACAGCGGTTCCCTAGTAGAAAGCACACGCTCCTTGTGGCTCCTAAGTGGCTGTCACTGTCGGTGCCTGACACAGTTATATTCACAACAACAACAACAACAACAAAGTATGCAGAGGAAATTAAATTATATGGAAATCAACAGCGTCTGACTGCTTCAAACAAACGTCTGTCACCGCGATTATTCTCCAGGAACCTATTCATAAACCTTGAAAGAAACAGGTTCTTGCAGCAAAAGACAGCATCTTCTGCATTTCTGTGTTGTTATTTATACTGTATACAGAGGAATGCGCGGGCATAATTTAACATACAGACATCCAGCTGTATACATCATATAACAGCTTGTTAGACACCCCGGAGTGGAGGTGTGCCTAAGTAATGCGCTTCTTTCTATTCGGGGCCCGCGATGGAGACGGGGGAAGAGTTTGAGAGAGGGAAAGCACCAAGGGGCTCGCGAGCATCTGGTCTTCCTCCCCCTGGAAGCTGCGTACCCCGCCCGAGACAATAGCTAGCCCTCTCGATCTTGCCAGAGCCGCGGTGGGAAAGGTGAGGCGTGCAGTGCGCATGCCCGGGTAGCTACAGGTGCATCACCTGCGCTGTCCTTGCTGGTGGTCACTATAAGAGCGGCTCCCGAGCGCCTGCCGCGGCCGGGCGAGCGCGCGCGCGCGCAGACGCACGGCGCCGCGGAGAGGGAGCGAGCGCGCGTCAGACAGACAGAGACAGCTGATGCCCGTCAGCGCGGCGGGGCCGGGAGCTCTCGCGAGAGCTCCCCGAACCGGCCGCGAGAAGTGGGGCTCAGGTGTAAGAGGAGCGCATCCCGTCGGCGCGCGGGGCTAGAGCTCTAGGAGAAGTGGGATCGCGAGGCCGGTGCGCGGCGCTCCGCACGGTCAAAGGGAGCGCCGGGCGGCAGCGGCGGCAGCAGCAGAGGAGCAGCAGCAGCAGCCCCCGGCGCGGCCGCCGCCTCCGCGCCTCCGCGCCGCCAGCCGCCGCGGCTGCAGCCTCCGAAGGGAGGCTGGGGGAGCCGGCGTGCGCACTTTCCCGCAGACTTTCGGAGTGTTTGTGGATTTACATGCCAAGCCAGCAAGATGATGTCTATGAACAGCAAGCAGCCTCACTTTGCCATGCATCCCACCCTCCCTGAGCACAAGTACCCGTCGCTGCACTCCAGCTCTGAGGCCATCCGGCGGGCCTGCCTGCCCACGCCGCCGGTAAGCGCCCCACGCCCGCGGCCCCGGCCCGCGCGCCCGCCCCCTCCCCGTCTCCGAGACACTGCATGTCGGGTGCCGGTGTGCGCACAGGTCCAGGTGCGGGGATTTGCGGGCAGGGATTTTTAGAGGAATCCCGCTGCGAGGCATGTTTTGTCCGGTGGCGCTCACTGTCGTGTACCCGTCGCCTCTGCCTCTGTGTCGGGCGCCTGCGATCAGAGAGCGGAGCGCTGGGGCCATGACTCTCGACTTCCCTCCACTTTCTCCGTTAATTTCACGCCTCGGAAAGGCGGCCTCTGTGCGTGCTCGGGTGCGTGACACGGGTCCCCAGCTGCGAGTTACATCTCCATTTCTTCTTCTTTCCCCCTCCTTTTTGGTCTCTCTCCCACGCCGGTTCCCGGAATGTGTTCTTGTGTTCCCGTCTCCCCTGCGCCTGCCTCTCTCCCCACACTCACGTCCCTTCTCCTCTCTCCCCCCTGTCTTGTCCCCAACGTGCTTCCTATTCCGTCTTTCCCGGTCTCCACTGTCCCCACCTCCCTTGTCGTTATTTTGGTTGCTTTGTGCCTGGTTTTGCCCTTTGCTCGTGCTCTCCGGCTTGTGTGTGGTTTTGTTTTGCGCTTTTGCTGCTTTTCTCCTCCCCTTCCGTTTTGTGGCTTTGTTTGTTTGTTTGTTTGTTTGTTGTTTTGGTTTGGTTTGTGTCGCCTGCAGCTGCAGAGCAACCTCTTCGCCAGCCTAGACGAAACGCTGCTGGCGCGGGCAGAGGCGCTGGCGGCCGTGGACATCGCCGTGTCCCAGGGCAAGAGCCACCCTTTCAAGCCAGACGCCACGTACCACACGATGAACAGCGTGCCGTGCACGTCCACGTCCACCGTGCCGCTGGCGCACCACCACCACCACCACCACCACCACCAGGCGCTCGAGCCCGGCGACCTGCTGGACCACATTTCGTCGCCCTCGCTCGCGCTCATGGCCGGCGCGGGGGGCGCGGGCGCGGCGGGCGGCGGCGGCGGCGCCCACGACGGCCCGGGGGGCGGCGGCGGCCCGGGGGGCGGCGGCGGCCCCGGCGGCGGCGGCGGCCCGGGCGGCGGCGGCGGCGGCGGCGGCCCGGGGGGCGGCGGCGGCGGCGGCCCGGGCGGCGGGCTGCTCGGCGGCTCGGCGCACCCGCACCCGCACATGCACGGCCTGGGCCACCTGTCGCACCCGGCGGCGGCGGCCGCCATGAACATGCCGTCGGGGCTGCCGCACCCCGGGCTGGTGGCGGCGGCGGCGCACCACGGCGCGGCGGCGGCGGCGGCGGCGGCGGCGGCCGGGCAGGTGGCGGCGGCCTCGGCGGCGGCGGCCGTGGTGGGCGCGGCGGGCCTGGCGTCCATCTGCGACTCGGACACGGACCCGCGCGAGCTCGAGGCGTTCGCCGAGCGCTTCAAGCAGAGGCGCATCAAGCTGGGCGTGACGCAGGCCGACGTGGGCTCGGCGCTGGCCAACCTCAAGATCCCGGGCGTGGGCTCGCTCAGCCAGAGCACCATCTGCAGGTTCGAGTCGCTCACGCTCTCGCACAACAACATGATCGCGCTCAAGCCCATCCTGCAGGCGTGGCTCGAGGAGGCCGAGGGCGCGCAGCGCGAGAAAATGAACAAGCCCGAGCTCTTCAACGGCGGCGAGAAGAAGCGCAAGCGGACTTCCATCGCAGCGCCGGAGAAGCGCTCCCTCGAGGCCTACTTCGCCGTGCAGCCCCGGCCCTCCTCCGAGAAGATCGCCGCCATCGCCGAGAAACTGGACCTCAAAAAGAACGTGGTGCGGGTGTGGTTTTGCAACCAGAGACAGAAGCAGAAGCGGATGAAATTCTCCGCCACTTACTGAGGGGGGGGGGGAGTGGGAGGTGCAGGCGGGGCAGAGCGGGAGCCCAAGGGGCTTCCGGGGGGCTTTCCCCGAGCCCGTGTCCTCCTAGATCTGCTTGCTTTTGGGGAGTCCCTCCGAGCGCACTCTCTTCCACCCCCTCTCCGCTCTCCCTGCCCTTTACCCTCCGCAGAAAAGCGGACTGGGGTGCTGGGTGTGGGCACCCGAGAGCCAGGCGCGGGGGGGAAAGGGGGGATATTTGGGTGAGAGGGGAGTTTGGGGGAAGGAAGACAGAGATTGGAGGAGGGGTTCAGAGGAGCAGATTGGTTCTGGGGGTTAGGGTGGGGGGGGGAGACTCGGGAAGAGTAGGGAAATGAACTGTTTTTGACCAGAGACACTTGTCAAAATCTCCTGGGGACCAAGGGACTATGTACAAAAACAAACCTACCAACCACCAAAAACCAGACAAATAAAGACAAACTAAAACAAAACAGAACAAAAGCAAAGAAAAAAAAATGCTTTAGAAACTTAACTCTGGGGAGCCGTATTCTGCAGCTTCATTACCCCCTAAGGAAGAGAAAAAAGAGCACCACTATTACTACCACCAACCCCAACCCTACATACCTGAACTGAGTTAAAAACCGAAAACCAAACACACCAGAAGGTGAAATTCTGGGTAGCGAAGCTAGCTGTTCTGTCTCTGTGTTTACTTTTTCCCTCCAAGTCTCACCTCCACCCCATCCGTGTCCTCTTTGATTTATTTTCTCCGTTCCACTGAGACCCCATACCTGTTCTCCACTGCCAGAAAGTGAGGGGGGTGGGCACAGCTGAATGGGAGGGAGGCAATTCGGGAGTCCCAAGTTTTCCTGTGACCTGGCCTATACTCCTGTGGCCTCGTCACTGTCTGGTGGGGACGTTTAGAGAGACACACAGGGCTTTTGAGCTGACTAAAAGGCAGAAAGGCAGAATTTAGGAGCTCTGAAATAAATATTTTATTCCAGGAAAATAAAACAATTTAACAAAGTTTTTCTCTTTTCATTTCTGCTCTTATATCTAAGATCTGGAAAACAGATTACTTCCAAATAAGCTCCCCCCTCCTCATGGAACTTGCTTGCCCTTTCATTTATTTTTCCCAGTGTGGTTTATTTTAAACTCTCTACCGACTTTTCCCCCTATTGATTCAAATACACTGATGGGGTGGAAGACGGTAGGAGAAATACTGTGCCCTATTTTCTCTCCAGAACAAGACCCACCTTGCTCTTCTAGGTACCCTTTCTTTCTCTCTTTGAAGAACATGAAATCTTTGAAATACTGGAAAGTTTCTGCTTTCAGTTGGAGCAGGACTTGGCTGGGAGAAAAATCAACTAAATCCCAGAAGAGAGGAAGAGAGGTTTAAAGCCCTTCCGTTTGTTTCAAAGGGGTCTGCATGTTGGGGGGGGGGGGAGAGCAAAACAACTGTTTCATTATTATTATTATTATTATTATTATTCAAAAGTAATTTATTGCTGGGGATAAATGTTGGGTAGGAAGAACTTTAATTTGCACTATCAGTCTCCCAAATAGAAAATCATGTATAGTATTTCATAGTAATAATCAAGGTACTCTATGAACTGCTGCTGGATTTAAAAAATGAGACAGTTGAAGGTGGTTAGGTAAAATGCCTGCTTGGTGCACAAGATACTCTCTTGATCTCGTGTGGAGATGGTTTATTACCATCCTTTAATAAGAACTAAAAAATTGAAAACAGAACAAATGAGAAAAAAAAAACTCTGCCATTTAACAAGACTGAAATCATGCATGATCTGAAAGGTGCAGAAAGAAACACAATTAGGTCTCACTCTGGTTAGGCATTATTTATTTAATTATGTTGTATATCATTGTTTGCAGCGCAAACATACTATGCATTTGAAACTGAGCACTAAACTGGGCTAGCTTTCTGATAGACCGTTTTGTGGATAGTGTGATTTCACAGTCTACTGCCTGTTTTCACCAAAAACACAACATTCTTGTCATATTCTTGTATTTAGAGGAAGAGGAAAAAAAAAAGAAAGATTACTGTAAATATTTTCTTTAATGCACACACTCACACAGTGGTTACAAACTGCCAGTGTTAATCCTGAAATGTCTCACGGATTGATCTACCTGTCCATGTATGTCTGCTGAGCTTTCTCCTTGGTTATGTCTTTGCTCTATTACCTTTTCCCCTCCCCACTTCTATTAGAACCATTTCTGTGCGCCAAAATACAACAGGGGGATGTGTCCCGGTACGCTTACAAATAAAACATAACTGAAAGAAGAGCAATTTTATGATTTGGGTGCATTTTTGTTTATACTGGGCCAAGTCCTGGTAGAGCCGGTCAAAAAATGAAACTCAATTCAACCACAAATACAGGGGAGGATATTCAAAGGGGGATAAAAAGTGAGGAAGGGGTGAGAATGATGTATTTTTCTGCTGAATCAGAATTCACTTTCAGATAACTCATGTGAAAAGCGGTGCTCTGAATAAAATAAATTCTATATTAGTTGCCTGTGTTTATCAGTTTTTTTTAAACTACAAAAACTCTTAAACCACAGCCCTCACTTCAGAGTGGTGGAAGGTTGTAAATAACCAGGTTCCCCCCCACCCCAAATTAAATTGAGGTTCAGGGAAAGAGGCATTTGGAGGTATATATGTGGTTTACTAGCCTATAAACATTTCTTTAAACATGTTGTAACTAAATGACTTTTCTTTAGAGGTTAAGAAATATATTTTAAAAAAAAATCATCCACTGATCTGTCCAGCCACCATGTCAAATGCCTGTGTTCATTTGGAACATTTAGTGTGCCACCTACTGCTCCAGAAAGGCCAGAGATAGTTTATTTCTTGGTGACCTCGGACTAGATTAGATGCCAAATGTACAAAGTTTCTTAATAGCTGGGATTATATCTTCTGACATCATCCTATTTTAGCCAAATCTTTTTAATTTCACCGGCAAATCTGTGAAACAAAACACTTGATGTTCAAAAAAGGATAATACATTTAAAAAGCTGTGATTTTAAACAGTTGTTAATGTTTTAAACAAAAGCACTAGAGGTATTTTTAAAAATAGATCTCTTCCATCAAAATTGATTTGTTTCTGTTGTTATTGACTTGAAATGTCATCAAAGTTTTTAATAAAATGCATTTGTAAAAAAAAAAAACAAAAACCCAAACTGTTATTTTATAGGAAAAGTACGACCAGATTTCATTGTTGGAGAATCAGGAATGAACAAATGAAAAGATTTACAAAGACTGTCTTTTTTTTTTTTCAATCTGCTCCAAACAGAAATGTTGCAGGCAAATACATTTGTATTATATAATGATGACCTATGTATGTAATAAGAACTTAAGCATTTGTTTTGTATTAAAATCCTTACCAAATAAAAAGAAGACAATATTATGTTAATAAAACACCATGAAAACACATGCTTTGCAGAGTTTCCTATTTTATGTAGTAGGAAACTGTGCAAAACAGAAATGCTTTGCTCTCTGGTGAGTGAATCTGTGTACCTGGGAAGGAATAATAAGACTATTCTGAGACACCTTTGTCAATTTAGGAAGAAACAAACAAGCAAACGTCCTCCTGAAGCGAGTGCAAAGGCTTTTCACTCAGCGGTAGTTGGCCTTTCAAAGTTTTCTGGTTCTGAAGAGGAACTACACTCTAAGCAGTTTCTGAAACCAGTCGGTGAGTGGAAATAGTAAAACGCGTGGCTCCGGTACTTTAAAAGAATACTCTCAAGTTGGAGAGAGTGGGAAAAGTGTGCTCCGTTTGTATTTCAGCTTCTCAGGAAATCCAGGCGGTCGTGGAGTAGGAAGGGCAGAAGAAAAATAAGCATGAAATGCACCTGCGACGTTTATGCCATCCATTCATTTTGAACTTCTCTTTGTCCCAGCCCTAGCTCAGGGTCCTGCTCCTTCCATAGGTCTAGGAAATGATGTCCTCAAGACACAGCAACCAACTTCCGAATAGATTTTTGTGTGATGCGTGTTCTGAAATTGCCCTCAACTTCGATTACACACACTCTCGTAAATAAATCGTAGGCACTCGCTGCCATGATCGTATCCATTTTTACGTTGCTCGTGATATGAAGCCTTCTTCGGCCCTGTTACCACGCGTAGCACAAGGCAGGGCGCCCTAGCCCCTACGACTCACCTGGCCAGCCCCCGCCCGCGGCCCTCTGGGCGGTGTCGCCTGGGCCTCTCCCGTCCACCTTGCGTGAAGCATCCTCGCTCCACCTGTGGGGGGAGGCGGGGCGGGGGCGGGGATGAGCTTTCATACGTTGAAAGTCCACGAAGTTGGAATTGTGACTTCGGACTCTGGCTAAAAAAGCAAGTGTTCCGCACTCCACTTGAATTGCCTTGGTGGCCAGCGGGATGATAAAGGTGAGGACCACAATTATTACCTGGTGCGGTGCTGCTTATCGGTGTTCCTGGCGCCGCGGTCGTAGCCCCACGACGGGAGCCACACACAGCTCGCGGGCGGTTTCAAAGGAGACCGCAAGCTTAATTGATTTTTTTTTTTTTAAATAGCAGCCGAATTCTAATTCTCGCGGGGAGCCTCTTTTCCACCTGCGAGATAAGCCTTGTCGCAATAATTACGTTATTTAATATTTGATCAAACCTTCGCGCCGCCGCGGCTGGCGGCGCCGGGCCGGCTCACGCCCTCCGGGGCGGCGGGCAAGCGGCGCTCCCGGAGCCGGGCCGCGAACGTGCGGCGGGGGCGCGCGACCGCCCCGCTCCGGTTGCCTTGCCCTTTGAATAATTCATGGCCTGAGAGTTCTGGAAATTAATGAAATGAATGATAACAAGAAGCTAATTAAAAACTTTCGTAATTGTTGTCAACTTGATGGGAGACAGGCAGCCCTCCCAGTCGCCCTGCCCGAAACGGGAGAGCCTCGCTCGGGGGGTGCTGGGCGCGGGCCGGGCAGGGCCTCGAGAGTGGAGCGGACCAGCGCCCCTCGGACTCGGGGAGTTGCTCCCTCCCCTGCAGCCGCCGCCCGCGGCA